TGAATTAGGACATTTAGGCTATCCATCTAATAGTAGCCGTAGAAGTTAAATCTTACTGTAGTCTTCAAATCTGGGTACTGTCTTACATTTTAAAATTACAAAGGGAGTTTGGTCCCATCAGGCTAACCTGACAGTCACGACTCATGCAGCTGTAAGGTTTTCTTTTTCCTTTGTTTTTACTCGCGATCTTTACAGCACGCATTACATTACGTATTTCATGGCACACTCGTTTTATGCGTATTTGGCGACACCTATTGTTGTGGGTGTATTATTGACATGTCAAAGTCTAGACCCTGAATATAAGACGACCGCGTTTTTTCAGATGTATTTCCAAGAAAAAAACATTGTTTTATAGTTGGGTCAATATCGTAATGTTCTTTTTAGCAACGTCATATGACCCCTTTAATAATAGGCTACTTAGTAAAAAGATCTTTAAAATCTTTATGTTGTTTCTACATTAATTTGGAGGTTCATTGTGAAATTATGACAATATTAAAATGTGATTAATCATGATTAACTACAGAAAAATGTGTGATTTTTTTTTTTTAATTGATTGAAAGACAGCACTTAATGTTAACCTTTTATAGATTTTAGATTTCAATTTAATTTCTAATTGTATAGGTCCCCCCAGAAAGAGATCGGGATGGCCCCCACCCCCTTGGCCCCATTCAAATTTTCAATTCGATAATCCAGCCCTCAAATGACACTAATTGAATAGCCCTTCTCTAATCCGTTAACATGGGTGCGGAAAAAATATGCACCACATACACACTGCAAACTGAGTATGTGTGAAACAGGCATAACACGATGGCCTGCTCCGTTTGCTGAAAGCATGCAAAGGACAATGCTTTTTAGGGACAAAAAAAAGATAAATCAATAAATTTTGTATTGTTTTTTTCTTGTAAGTAAAGGAAAGGGAAAATTAAAAACATTGTAAATATGTTTAGTCATTGTAGTGCAATGACTGCCTGTTTTTGCAAAAAGAGTTTCATGGCCGGTAAAAAAAATTTTTGGCCGGTAAATGTTATCACGCCATTGTGTGGCAAAAAGTTGCCATCTTTCCTCCGTTGCATCCTCCTCTCTTCCCTCACCTACCCATTTATCATCTCTGGATGTGAATGCAGCAACTGACACTTTATGTTCTACTTTAACCTCTTGTCTAGATGATATTTGTCCTCTCTCCTCCAGACCAGCACGGGCTACCCCGTCAAACTCCTGGTTATCCGATGTTCTTCGTGAACATCGGACCAAACTCAGGGCAGCTGAGAGAAAATGGTGCAAATCAAAAGATCCGTCAGACCTAAGTATGTATCAGTCTTTGCTTTCATCTTTCTCTGCTGAAGTCCATACTGCCAAATCTTCATACTTCCACAACAAGATCAACAGCGCAAGCGTCTGCTAAATGACTAAATGTAAATGTAAATGTAAAAAGTTAGTTTTAGGCCCTGGTCATGCAGTATCGAAGGTCGGGCCAGCTGGTTTGAAAAAAATCAGCGCTTCGCATGACTCTTGTGTTTGACTTTACATTGACTTGGATGTGTGTGTGTGTACCAAGCGGCAACCTCTCTCTCGTGAAGCCAACAAGGAAGTGACTTAAAGTGTAATTCGTCAACTGGCCGCTAGAGGCTGGCTGCAAAAGGGAGGCAATACAATAGACTCCCCATGTTAAAATGCCCAATTTTACAGCAGAAAAAAACATGTTTGCAGCCTGGTTCAAAAAATTATTTTGGTCTATATAGCTAATTTTGGCCTTCATGACAACTGTGAGGGGGGTGAATTTTTTTATAACTCATCCGTTTAAATTACATTAAGCCTTAAAATTCTGCATAATTAAGGGCGTGGCAAATTTCGTTGCGGGATTGCGCATACATCGCATTACTCATTCCCACAGCTTTCGACTTTAAAATGAGGGAGATTACTGCAAAACCTTTATTCAATATAGCGTGTAGGTTAGATGAGTAAATAAATCCACACAAACCATCAGATGAAAACAGCGTGAGTGATTCAGCTGTACCGCGTCTTCTCTCTTTGACTTTCGCTTCACATCGACGCATCTAGAGCTGCTGCACGCTGCGATAGAAGACTTTAGCTCGCGTTTCGGGACAGTTGACAGAATTGTCAATTGCCTAATCGGTCATTGTTGCATCGTCACAAACATTTATTATTTTCATATCTTTTTAAGCCATTCGGTACTCGCGCTCTCCAGAGGCGCGTGCGCTCACAGTCACATCCAAAGCGCGTACTGCGAGAACCAAATTGAGAAAGTACTGTCGGGTTTGTCTTAAGTTGATGTAAACAGTTGCTAAATAAAACGCATGGGTATCAGTATTGGATCCGTGAAATAAGTCTTGTGACAGCAGCCTAATAAAGATGTGCCGTCTTTTATTAATGTTAATCAAACAACAAAAGACAGAGAAAATCCCTTACTGCTCGTGACTAAATAATGTTAATTTACAGTTTATTCAATTTCTGTAGCCTATTTAAAACACGTTCATAATTTAGAAAATGTAGTTAATACTTGCACATTAATTATTTATTTGATCCACCCGCGACACACCCGCAAATAATCAGAATGCATTTTTTTATTATCCGACCCAGCCGATCCGCGGATTATCCGCAGCGCCCGCGGATATAAGCGCCATCCGCGCATCACTAGTGTGTACACACTTATTTGGGATTCAGTAGAATAGTTTAGAATAACCTCAACACCAGACAGAAACTGAATGCACGTCACAACTCTATTGCATTTTCTAATGTTCTAGCTGGGGTCTCAGAGACCCCAAACAGCTCACCCAAAATATTTTGCTACTACTCACGTCAATTATTAATTATAATAACACACTTGTGTATTTTATATTATTGATCAATATGTGAATCCACTGACTGGACTACGCATGACACGAGTTGGCACAGATTAAAAACTTTTTCAAAACATCGCGATGTTTCATTAGATAAATTATCTGTTAAATAACATTATTTATTTAACACACATACTTATTTACATTTCAAATTTGCCCATATCATACCTGTACATACAAAATTGTCTATATTATATATTGTGTTTTTGCTTTTTTGTACATTGTCTATTTTTATATTATTCTTTTTTATTATTTGTGTCCTGTCTTGTCACTGTCATTCTGTTGCACTGTGGAGCTTCTGTCACTAAAACAAATTCCTCGTATGTGTAAACATACCTGGCAATAAAGCTCATTCTGATTCTGATTCTGATATGCTGGAGAAACGAGAAACCGAGTCTGGCCACCAGATGTCGCTAATGCGCACTGTGTTAAAAAGCTTCGAGTAATGAACCGTTACCCCAAAGCCGCAAATGGTTCAGAAAGCCTCGGTTTCCCATCACTACATTTTACATTACACACACAGTGTCCTCATAAACCATATATTCAAACACACACATGCTGGCTGCACCGATTACCTATAGTTGATCTTAGATCTGCGCATGTCCGGTTCATAAACTGCATTTCTGCTGTCAGCTGTGAGTGCACAGACTGACACATTTTTACACAAAACATTGAATGGTGTTACTCGAAAAAGTCTATTCTACATTCATTACACTACTATAATACAAATATTAAAGTAAATACCGCTGCCTGAGAATCTGTTCTGACGAAAGTCCTTGCCTGGTGGTGCTCGCGGTCGACTTGTTGTGTGCTGCGCAAACGTTCTGAAACGCCAATGAAAACTTACGTTCCTGACGTACGTGTTGCAATGTTTCTCAAGTTGACTTATGGGAAATGAAGTTAACTTCAACCCTCCTCTCTGAATTTCACCAACAGAAATTATGTATGGTGCACGACTTTCCCCGCAACGGAGAAATACTGTGAATTTTATAGCACACGCACACACACGATGCGTGTGTGTGTACCTACTTAACCATATATTGGGGACAAATGTGTACCCAAAAGTGAGCTTAACCTGACAAAATCTCCAAAAACCTCCCTTTGGGGACGTTATCATTTGTAAAACTGGTCAAAAAATAAAGTAAACTAAGTTGTTTTGGGGTTTTTTTTAATTGTAAAATTGCAGAAAGTTTTCTGCTAGGGGTAGGTTGGTGTAGGGCAGTAGAATATACGATTTATAAAAACCCACATAGACATGCAAATGCCACACAGAAAGGTCTCCTGGCTCAGCTGTTACTTGAACCATACTGCACAACTTCTTGTCCAGGCCATTGTAGTTTCTAGGCTGGACTATACGGCAATGCTCTTCTGGCTGGACTCATGTGCAATCAAACCTCTACAAATTATTGAGAATGCAGCATGCCTGGTCTTCAAAAAGCCTAAAGAAACCCACGTCACACCTCTCTTTATGAGGAATTGCTTGTTGTATTCCTCTTTTTTACTTTGGATAAAAGTGTCTGTTAAATGAATAAATGTAAAAATAATGGAAATGAATAATGATAGCAATGTTTTTCACCAACTAAGAGACATTATTAAAATCAAACAAATAACTTTCTTACTTAAGCCCGTCAACCTTGTCATGGTATAGGCCACCAACCACACACCTTCTGAATTCTCTGTATTAGGCAATTCCTTCCTACTGGTTACAGGTGTATAGCCCATCTTGTTGATGTCAGCCTTGAGGTCATGTTGCCAGGTGTTTCTTGGACGGCATCTTCTTTGTTTTCCTTGGTGGTTCCACTTAAATTCCACTGAAGTGCCCTATTCAAACTAATCTTTTCTTCATGATTTCTTCTTCAGCAGGGGAGTTTGTGGGTCATTTCCCAGAGGTTGGTATCACTGTTGGTGTCAGGCCAGCAAATCTGGAGAATCCTTCTGAGACAGCTGTTGATGAAGGTTTGCACATTACTGATGGTCATTTTTGTCATCCTCCAGGTTTCAGCTCCAAACAGCAACACTGGCTTCACGTTATAGAGTTGAACAGGCAGATCTTAGTTGCCGAGGACAGGTCTCTGGAGCTCCAGATGTTCTTGAGCTACATGCAGGCAGCTTTTGCTTAGCCAATCCTTGCCTTGAAATCTGCATCTGTGCCATTGGTCAGTGATGCTGTTGCCCAAGGTGAAGGACTGGACTTTTTTCAGGGGACTTCCATTCAGCATGACTGGATCCTAACTTGTGGATTTTATCTTGAGGATCTTGGTCTTATCTCTGTTAACGGTGAGGCCAATCTGAGATGAAATATTTATCACTACATCAGTTCTTTCTTGCATCTGCTGTTTGTTGTGGGAGAGAAGTAGGCCTACAAGGTCGTCAGCAAAGTCCAGATCCTCGAGCTGGGTCCATGTGGCCAACTGGATTCAGTTCCTTCACTCTCTAGTGGATTCCTCCATAATCCAGTCAATGGCAAAACGAAACAGGAAGGGTGACAACAGGCATCTTTGTCTAACTCCTGTTTTCACCTGGATGCTGTTGGTGAGCTGCCCTCCATGGACTCCACAAAACATTCCATCAAAAGATTTTCTAATCAGGTTAACCAAGCAAATAAACAGGTGAACATATATTTTCACAATATGTCAGTGTTTCTGTTCCCTGTGGTCTAGATACACTCTCCGGTAGCAGAGTTAGGACAACATTGTTGTTGTTGCCATGGTGAAACGTAGCTAATCTGGAAACAGTCCAAAGTCTTCAGGAAAGCTGATCTGGGATTCTTTGGGAAAATATTATGTATCATGCTTATTATTGGCTACATGGCATTAAAATTAAATCAGAAAAACTGAAATTACCTGTGGTTTTATTTTATTACGCATGCTTGCGCCTCCTAACTAATCTCTTTTTTATTTATTTATTTTCTTTATTTGATAGTTTTAAACAAGTATTCAACCAGACACGTAGGTATGACCTTTTTTTCTGTTTGCAATCCACATTAATAAAGTAAAGTGTAGTGTTGTTGCAGTTTTAAAAATTATCGTTAGATGGCGCCAGATGACCAAAATGAGAAACATACCGTATATATGAAGTTTAATGTTTTATTGGATTGCAATACCTTTAAACCCCCATTAAAAGTAAGCTCATAAATATAATTTTTAGCAAATTAGAGCTATTTTGAGTCTCTCTCGGAATTATAACAGTCAAATGCATCAAGTGCATCAAGTGCTTGAAACGTGGAATAGACAGGTCTCTAAAGCCTGCTGACTTAAATACAAAAGGGTATCTACTCTTGTCCAAAAGAGGGCGCCGGAGAACTTCAGGTGATTTCGAGGGAGAACATTTACATGACAATATTCTCTAGCCTAGAAAATGTCACTCACATTTCATGCTTGGCAGTTGGCACAAAAGTTTAACAAATGATTTTAATGAAATTGTCAGTAGTCCTGTCAATATTGATCAAGAACTAACCGATGTCTTGAATGAGCAAATCTCGGAGCTGTTTTTGACGGACCTGCATTTTAATGGAGTGTTTTGAAGAAACAACATCAACGTAAAATTCCATGTTCTATTTTTCGTAATAAAATGTCAGTTTGTAGGCTATAGGCTATACTTAATTATAAGTATTAAAATATAAACACATTTGTTTTCTTGATCCCAATGATATCTCTGACCACACGCTTCAGTATGAAACGAGTGCATACATTTCTGCACTTCATTAATTTGTGCTTAAAGGTCTATCGCCTTTTGAAATTGCTGTCTAATTTAAATGCACTTACGTTTGATTTTCATTTTGAAATTCTTTCTATAAACAGATGTCCTTCTGATATTGGCCTGTAGGTCTATAGTAAAAAAAAAAAAAAAAACTACTGGCTACTGGATAGGCTTATTTCTCATTTGGCCTATTATTGGTTATTTCCCAATACCCGCATGTAGAGTTGGGGGGTGGGGGTATGTGTTATTTGTTGTATGAGTGATATTTGTTTTATTAGCCTACACTTTGTATTTTCATAAGCTTACAACTGTTCCCCCTTTTTGTCCATTAGTTCTATTATTATTATTATTATTATTATTATTATTATGCTGTTAACAATGGCGTGAAAAATTACCAGTGCTACCTTAAATTTGTAAAAATGTATTTGATTATTTTTTTAAGGAATAAACAGCTTTTATTTTAGGGGCAACGAATGTAACTACAGTACGTCATCTGAAAACACACGATGTACGATGCATGTACAATATATAATCTGAAAACACTGATACTTTTTAGGCATGCTGACTGCACAAGATTTTAACATTTTGACACTTAAAACAGCAGGTTGGAAAAAAACACACTCTCGCTGCTTTCTCTTCTAGCTAATGTGCAGCAGGAATCTCAACACTGCTTTTACCTTTTCTAGGTGTTGTTGCCTTACACGTGCCAGTAGCAGAGCGCATGCGCCATGAGGTGGTCCTCTGTTTTTATTGCCAGGTGAGTAGATTTTGTTCAGGTAAAGTGGAATTTTGCTTAAGGACACAAGACCCAATGAGATAACACTGTGTGATGTACCACATTCAGAAAGAAGACACAAAAATGTCATTAATGGGCAAAATGGGAGACTGGCAGGTACGTTATCTTCCTTATAAGGTATATGAGGGTGATGAAGGAGCACGTTTTACTTTTGTATATAAGTGAGAATTAAGTCGTCTACACGGTAACTTTTCAGAAAGGTTTTACAGACAGTATTAGTCATTAACCAATGTAAATAAAATGCTAACCACAAAAGCTGTATAGTTCACGCAGGTAGGTTTGCGTTCGAGACGGTGAAAGATAGGGTGAAGGTAAAGGCGAGACAGCGGTGAAAAATAATCTCTTGATCAGATTTCTCTAAAATAAAGCACGCTCAGGGTGGCTGGTGAGAGAGTCCAAATTTGTTGTTAGATATTGGATACGCAGGCTGTTTATTTCATTTTGCACACTGGTGTAAATATTTTAATTTGACTCACTCATTTCCGATATTATTGTAATTTGGTCATTTTGTGCAGGCCTACGTAACGCATTTTCCTATAGTATCATGAACGGGAAAGACTTGATTTATTTATTATTTTCTCTATAAACTATTTTTTCCTGCAATAATAAGTCAGTGTATTTTTTTATTTTATTGTGTGTGTGTGTGTGTGTGTGTGTGTGTGTGTATGTGTATAAAACACGATCCTCAAGTTGATTGTTCCCATTATGACATTGTAAAAAATAAAATAAAATAAAACAAACAAGAAAGAAAACCAGAAAATAAACGCGAATCAGTTATTTATTTTGTCAATATAACACCATAAATAACTGACAGACTATGTCCATTTAGATACGAATATTGTGAATGGACAATTTTCCCACATTGAAGATTACCAAATAGTGCTAAGAATGAAGACTAGTTTTGCTTTTCTTTTGTGTGATTGGTTTCAATGATGCGGACCCCCCAATCAATAAGCAGCGAACAACAAAGCAGCACACCCATCTATTTCTATTGCGCGTTTTCTTTGCCTCTCTTAATCGTCATTGTGTCTTTCAGTTTCTTTCGGCCTCTCATTAATGACAACTGGACTCACCCCACCAAAAATGGTAATGGAGATAAGAGAGAGACAACGCCTTAGACTCGGCGACCTGTCTCCTGACCTCATTCACATTTAACAAGCCATGTTGTTGTGTTAATTATTTACATTTATCAAATTGCGACGTTACACGCTCTAAATAGATGTATATCTACTGGAGAATCGGCTTTTTTGCATAACACTATTGAGAGTATTTTACAGGCTCAGGCTCACTATGATTAAAACAACAGTTTACAATTGTCAGACTGGAATCAGTGTGGTTTTGCCCACTAAATCACGTGCATGCTGCAGCAGTTTAGCATTGTTCAATATCTAGGTTGCTCAATTTTACAGGTTGCTCTTGGGTCGAAAACCTAGAACTTCTTGAAGAATGCATGTATGCAAAGCGTGTGGCCTTTGATAAAAAAAGAAGATGACGAAAAAAAAAGAAAAATCTTTCTAATGGTTTGGGTTGTACTTGGCATATTAACTTCGCTCTGAGTTAAACCAATTGGATGATTAATTCAAAAGAAAATGTGAAGTCATCCTTCACCACTGATTTTAACCCCTGCATTTACAGTTCCCTTTTGAAATACAAATGGAACTCAGTAAAGCTTACTGGAATTCTCGATGCAGTTTCTACCTGTGTATATTCATTGGCTTTGGTCTCTTGATATGCTAATGAGGGTTATTACAGTAGCGCTCGAGTCTCTCTCTTCCACCATTAGAGGGAGATCTGAGCGCGCAGCTCGAGCCTTGTGCACTGTGTCAAACTCAAGCTAAGGCGCACTTCACTCTATCCACAACCAATGAAAATGCTTTGGAAATTAACTGATAATATTAAATATGAAGACTGCGAGGTAAGCGGCTTAACCAGGCTTTTAATACCAAATATTGCATGATATTTACCATAATTCTGAAAGGTTTAACTTTTAAATCGGTAAGCTTTTTTTTTTCTTGCTGTGTGTACAATTGAATTCAACACAAGAACAAGTGATAAATAACATACTGCAATACAGCATGATCCAGAACACATGTAATTTTCCATAATAATAATAATAATAATAATAATAATAATAATAATAATAACATACACGTATCACACATTAAATGCCTGTAGACGTTCTGTAGTACAAAAAAACAAACAAACATTAAAACGTTGTAATATCGAAATGTGTATGAAAATAGACAATAAACAAACTTACCAAAGGTAAGTTTTGGTAAACAATCAAACGCATCAATTGCAGTGGATCATTTCGTTTTAAAATAAATATATTTGTCTTTTTTTTTTAGTTCTTGCTTGTCTTCCCCTCTAGTATTTGGCATGATTTGTTTGGTGAATGCAGTAGGCTAATATATGGGAGTAGTTTTCGGAGTGGTGAAGCCAGTAAAACGTGTTTTCGCTCGTTTCTGGCGAATCACACACGCCATGATCAGGAAAGAATCTCTGAACTCCGCGTGTCCTTATGAGTTTCTTTCTCTCGACGCACAGACTCGCATTAATTGTAATAAGTAATTACATGCTGTTTCATAATAATCGCCTATGACATGAAAGCTTAGAGGGAAGCGTGTAGAATGAGTATACATGCGTAAAGTTAGTTGCATATTTGCTCTGGCGGTGAGTTAAGCTGCATCGGCGTGTGTTGATGTGTCTTGGCCGTTGTTAAACTCGTGGTGAGGGATTTTAGTGGGCCACGGAGCACGAACAGACGAAGACTAATGTGAAAAACAATGAGGTAGACGAACATCCAGTGAACAGTGAAAATGTGCCAGCCCAGATGCCCTCAGCGTTTGCTGGATTTTCACCAGAATCAGACGTGCACATTGTTTCCTTGCTTGTGTTCTTCCCCCCTCGTTCTGTCTTTCTTTCACTTTTGCTTGCCCTCGAACCTTTTAAAATGTTTCCCCGCTCTCTGATTCGTCAGACGCAGGAGAATGTCCCTCTTTTGTCTCCCTCTCCCTCTCTCTCCCACTCACTCTCTCTCTCTCTCCTCATCTCTGATTAGATATACTGATTCCCCCATTCAATGGACGTCATTTAGTGCAGTCTGCCTTGAGTTGCTTCCTCGCTTCACGCTCGATTTCCGACCATTCTTCTCTTATTAAGTATTCGTGTAATATTAATAGTCATGAATATCTACCATTAGGAGGGCAGAGGAAGAGGCAGATCTGTGCTAACATGAGCTCAAGCGAGGGAACAGTTCACTGACAGAGCCGGGAGACGCCAAGGGGATCTAAGAAACTTTAGAGAAAAGCATTGCATCTAAACAGCAGATGAAGAACAGTGGGAATTTACCCAGATTCTGATGGATTATTGCTTTATTTGAACGCTGGCCACCGCCACTTCGCCCTACAATTATCGTTGGCTTGATTTAATTTGCACGTTTGCAATTTAAACAATTCTTGTCTTTTGAAGTCCTCGGAAATCCTCGCTGATGTTAGTGCACAGTTTTTCCGCGATGGTGAGTGACTGTCGGGAGTAAAAATCTGAAGCCTGCGCTCAGCATTTACTCTCCGATTGTTTGTTTGTTTTTTATTTATGTATAATTATTTTTATCCTGTCGTTGTGTCTGTTCCATCATGCAATCTGTAATTGGTTGCATAAAATGCTATTACAAAGACTTAATACGTGATGTGAGCTCTGATTATTTTTATTTGCCTCTCAGTAGGATCTTCAATTGCTGAATGGATGTACATTTTAATGTAGAATAACATATTATTCTATATGGATATTATTCTAATTATAATACAATGTTGTTGTTTTGATATTTTTGTTCTTGACCAGATTAAAGGCATGTTCGGATTTCTGTTTAAATAAATTACTAAGTGCGATAACAAATCACTCCTGTTTATCTATTTTTTCTCCTTAAAATTGTATATATATATATATATATTAACTGCACTAAAACAGCACTATATATTTCTCTACTAAGGATCGCCACGACGGGACCAGCAATGGCACAGCCCGGTTACCCCAACTGGGCAGCGTGGGCCAGTCTCCGTACACCAGCGCTCCTCCGCTCTCTCACACGCCCAATTCAGATTTCCAGCCGCCATACTTTCCGCCACCCTACCAGCCCATCTACCCGCAGTCTCAGGACCCTTACTCTCACGTTAATGACCCGTACTCCATCAACTCTCTGCACGCCCAGCCTCAGCCACAGCACCCGGGCTGGCCCGGCCAGCGGCAGAGTCAGGAGAGCAGCCTGCTGCACCAGCACCGCGGGTTACCGCATCAGCTGTGCAGAGAGTACCGTAGAGAAGTGCTACTTCCCTCGGGTCACGGCATTGAGACTGGACTCACGGATTCGATCCATATCCATGGAATACCTCACTCTTTAGAAGATGTTCAGGTAAGGAGAAAAGCTTAAATCTTATAACATGTCACCTCCATAACCCAACTCCATTATTTGGTGCTATTCTCTTTAGAATCTCGGAGAGTCAAATATCGGGTCACATATTTAAATTGTTCTTATTTAAGTTGTTTTATTAAATATATTACGCTAAGCCTAATGCACAACAGAACGGTTTTTGTCAGAATAAATTGGTGAAGTTGGTAAAAAAAAGTGGCAGTTTTTAAATTGTTGTTTGAATGTAAATATACTATTTAAATGTATATTTTGCTTGTGGTGGTCAATTATGATCGACATTTTTGTCTTGATGGCCAATGACGTTGCATGTTTTATGAGGAAAACCGTTTAGAAAGAACCTAATTTGATATAAAGTTCTATTTTAAACGGTATAGCGCGAGAAATAAAAAAAAATATTTGAAAAATATATTATTATTATTATATTATTATTATGTGTGGATTTTATCCTTGTCTGCTTGATGCAGTTGACCTGTAGGTTGAAAGCCTATTATAAAATATAAATGAGTTAATTATGTTGCACTGCGAAGATGCCATTGCTGTTGAATAAATCCATTTTGCTTGCAAAGTTGGAGGTGATTATTCCGTGCAGTGGTATTTGGTGTGCCATGGGTTTTAAAGGTGAAAGCTGGAAACGGTTCATTGGTTCCTGTTAATCATTGCCGCTGAAGACTGAATGTAATATTCATCGTGCTTCATTGAAATTTAGTCTTGTATGCTAATGAGCCTGAAGAAATGTATGATTCCTGCGAGATAAGGGCGAGGGGGTGGGGGTGGTGGACACGCAAGCAGACGCTGATTTAGTCGGAGGACACTGGCTTTCTGAAGTGCTGTTATTGTTTATGATCTGCTCCATTTTATGGAAAGCAGTTTTAGTAGAGTTGAGCTTTGATGCTAATTGGCGCATGCGTTCTTCCGGATTCTAGGCTTATGACAGGAAGGCTCGCAGTAAAAATCCAACTGTTTCAGGAAATTAAAACCAAAGGGGGAAAAATAGCCAAACACACAGACCTAGTCGGAGTATCGGATGTTTTAGCTGTTTTATATAGAACAACATTCTAATATTTGATAGCAGGACCACGAATCAATGACAGGGTGTCAATCGTTCAGTATCTTATGTTCTGTTAATCTCACAAGGAGGGCACATTTTGACGCACACATTTGACAGAATTCAATTATCTATTAGGTAATAGAAAATAAATGTGCGTTAGCAATGTCGGAATTGATAAAGAACGATGTCCTGCTCAATGGTCGAGGACGTTAATTAGGCTAGATGACAATTATGAAATATTTTATTACAGTAGCATACACATACTGACTCTTATTTTCTTCTAGGTGAAGCGGTGCACCTGGCCAGAGATTTTGGTTATGTATGCGAGACTGAGTTTCCGGCCAAGGCGGTAGCTGAATACGTGAACCGACAGCATTCCGACCCAAACGAACAAGTCCAAAGAAAAAACATGTTATTGGCATCGAAGTGAGTGCTATTGAAACTATTTATATGTCTATGCGCATGTCACTGTTTATGACAGGTTTTTTTTTTTTGCTTAATTGTCGTATTTTATTTAACACCATATTGAAATTTGCTTTCCGTTAAATACAGATGTGCCAATAGTATATCTATATAAGCTAGCTTTTAATAAATATGTCTGCATTTTGGAACCAAATGGTTTCGTAAATTAACATGTTTTTGCATTATTCGCAACCTGTAACGAATTAGTATTTTCCCGTAATTTTTTATTTTTTATTTTTTAAATAAATATTTGATACGCTTCATGTCGATTTTTATTCATTACTTTTTTTTATTCACTGCTCGCTGCGATGTATTCCTCTCTCGCTCGCTCTCTTTTCTATTCAGCACAGTTACTGTAATTGAGTTTAACTCTCCCTTGACGATTGCTCCATGCAATAAGCAGTTGAACCCATTGTTTCCCTCAAGTACAATAAAAAAAAAAACTTACTTTCACCTCTTGGTTCAGAGTACAAGATCATTCAAATATTGCAGGGAGCTTTTTGCCAAGCCAAATGACACGGAAAACAATGAATTCTCTTTCGTGTTTGAAGCGAATGTGTGTAGTTTTAGCCCTTGAGCAAGAGCGCTCTTTAAATCAGTCAGATGTAGAATCCAGTTGAAGGTTCAGTGCATTTGCCATTTTCATGCATTTATTTGTAGACATCACCTTACTTCTCCAAAAACAATGTCACTATGCTAAATATTTATGTCATTAAAATGCAGATCTATAGTTCGTTGAAATCATTTTACAGTTCGTTTTAACAAAATTGAGGGCATGGCACTTAAAAATGGCGTTAAAAGAAAAGCAGCATCCATGTCGTAATTTTACTTTTCCAATTAGTTTAGTCATTGGGTACACTTGCAGATGTCATGCCAGAACACGTATGCTTATTTTGTGCATTGCATAACTCATTTTCAAATAGAGGTTGATTGTTTATTGATAGCACGAGCCGGGAAATCAATCTCCATTCGAGCTTGCTGTGTTCTGTTCATGTACAGCAGACTTCTGTCATGGCACTGAGAAAAGAACTGCCTGCACAATATTTCACCGTAGTGGTTATTCGTTTAAAACAGTTTTTTTCTGTGCTCAGACGGTCTGTTCGACTCAGATGCAGTTGTTTTCAAATAACATGAACGGAGCCTAACTGTACATGTCCTTGGCATAATTGCAATGCACAGTGCAGCAGCAGGTGAAGCGAGGCATTGTCTGTCAAGACTGTTTTTGTTGGCTGCGTCTCAGATTGTGTGTGGGATTCTAACCTCGGGCACAATAGCTCTCTCAGAAAGGATACCCGGCTGTTCCTCCTGTTCAGGCGCAGAAAAACGGTCATGAATAGTCATTTTAAGGGAAATCACAATCATGTTAATCGTATTCATCAATATTAGGAATTCCTTCACGTGCATGTGTCATTAACGCTAATGTCATTGATTAAATGTGTCCTTGGCATAATTGCAATGAACAGTGCAGCAGCAGGTGAAGCGAGGCATTGTCTGTCAAGACTGTTTTTGTTGGCTGCTTCTCAGATTGTGTGTGGGATTCTAACCTCGGGCACAATAGCTCTCTCAGAAAGGATACCCGGCTGCTGCTCCTGTTCAGGCGCAGAAAAACGCGCATGAATAGTCATTTTAAGGGAAATCACAATCATGTTAAATCGTATTCATCGGAATTAGGAATTCCTTCACGTGCATGTGTCATTAACGCTAATGTCATTGATTAAACATATTAGAGGCTGAACAACTTTTATTTTTTTAACGCAGTGAAAGCATTTGTATATAGCTACCACACAAGCATGAGCGTTATGCCCTTTTATTTATAAAACAAAAACACCAGACATATCCCGTGTATTTACGTCAACGCATAAACCACATAGAGATCTTTTGAAATCTTTTGGAATTGTATTTATAATAAAATGCTCATTCCAGGTAAAGTGTTTCTCCCTAGGCGTCTCACCACAGCAGAGTTGTCACATTACAGTATGATGAGATGAGAAAATGAGGGCTTATTCCTTTCGTTAAGAGAGAGAGGGAGAGAGAGAGAGAGAGAGAGAGAGAGAGAGAGAGAGGGGCTACAACAAAGATATAGAAGCACATGTGAAGGAACAGGCACGTAGTCTCTCTCTCTCTCTCTCTCTCTCTCTCTCTCGCTCACTCACACACACACACACACGCTGTTATGCATGTGTGCACACACAGTGTGTGTCAAAAGAAGAGGGTTTGGGTATGAGAGACATTTACGCAAGCGCGTTTGGATTTGCTTCGTACTTGTAACCATTGTTTTATTTTTGAACTTGCGTTAACTTATCTCAGCAGGAACGAATTCCTCGGACTAATAACCTAAAACTTTTTGTGGGCATCCTATCATAGTTGCAGTATTGGTGTGAAATAGATGTTAGATGCGCACGCTCCCAATGAAAATATACTAATCATTAAAAAAAAGCAATAGCGCGACGACACTTTACTTTAGATGCCATATAGCCTAACTTTTAGGTGTAGGCTAATAAAAAAAAAAACCTTTCCTCATATATATATATAAAACGCGTGTTGCATGCCTACTTCTCTCTTCCTTGTTGGCTGGTACAATTTTACACACGTACCCTTATACCATGGTAGTTATGGCATTTTGCACATTTGTAGACATTCTACTTTAGATGCCATATAGCCTAACTTTTAGGTGCAGGCTAATAAAAAAAAAACCTTTCCTCAATTAAATAAATAATAGCCTATCAAACAGCGTAGATATATATATATATATATATATATATATATATATATATATATATAAAGCGTGTTGCATGCCTACTTCTCTCTGCCTTGTTGGCTGGTACAATTTTACACACGTACTCTTATACCATGGTAGTTATGGCATTTTGCACATTTGTAGACACTTTAGACATTTACTGCAGTGGGTTTAGACGTTAAACCGGATAATTTCCACAAGTGCCTCTTTATATCTTTTAAATTGTATCTTTCAAGCTATCTTTTAATTTTAAGGGTGCCACAGCTATAGGTTAGATGGTAGGCTATTTGACAAGCACCTTATAATGATACACATAGCATGCAATATTACATGCGTTCACCTTGAGCCACTAAATATGCACATAGTTGTTTATTTATAACTTACCGAAAGCCCTGATTAGGCCTATTTATTTTGCCATATTTATTGATAACTTTCAGCGCAACGACAGCGTACAAAAAAAAAAAAAAAAAACTTGATATTGGAGATGCTTTGGGGCTTAGTTCAGCACCTTTGGACTTGACAGCTCCCGTAAAGAAGGTTTGCGTAATACTGAGCAATCTACAGGCTAGTTTGGTACTCTGCTCCTCCGTAAAATAACGTTCGAAGTAATTTAGGATGATCTTAAGAGCATGATTTGAACCATAATCGGAAAACCCGGCACTTATTAAAATATCATATGATTTGCTCTGTTGTTGTGCGCAAACTTATAAAGTGAAGTTAATTGAACTGAAATACATCGCACGGTAGTTTTATTTTATTTTATTTTTTTATTTTAAGAATAATAAACTCAATGTGCCATAGCAATATTTTTCACTTTCGTT